CTCGATCCCCTCATCCAGATCATCAGTAAAGTTACTGAACAAGACCGACCCCAAAACTGAGCCCTGGGGAACACCGCTTGTTATGTTTAGGTCCTGCATGAACGTGGCGCCAGCATTTATCCACACTTTTTATAGTTTCAATTTGTTTGGGTATTGTTGCATTATTCTGTCCTATCTCATTTTTACAATACTTTGTGGAACTGATACTCATGGTGCATCTCATACATGGTAATGAGCCATTTATTTGAACTCATTGAAAAGTGTTTAGTAGAGCATTTCCCTTTTAATAAGAGATAATAACTTATGCAAGAATGATAAAAAGTAAGGATAATTTATCCAGCAAGAACATCTCTGTTAGCCTGAATGCCATCTACTGTAGTGTATTCCAGTTAGCTTTTCCTATTCAACGCCTGTACATTATCTTAAACGAAACGTCACCCAGGATTTTAGCAGCTATGCAGTTCTGTACATTCCTCATTTCCTTTCTGGGATCGATAAAAGCTTCTTATGACCAGTTTGAAACAATTCCAGCAGGTTCTGTCTAGACTGTGCCAAAGCATGCTTTGCTGTCTTCTTTCAGCCTCGCTCTCCCATCCTGCTTAGCCTCCTTTGAGCCTGCTCTTGGGCTTTCCTGTCCATGCACAACAGTGCAGGTGAGAGTGGCTGGTACATGCATATACCTGATTATTACATGGACTTCACCCATATCTGGGAGCCTTCCAGCTATTTCCTCAAAGGGAAGCACTTCTAGGTCTCGCAGTTTGAAGAGATCCATAGCAATTGCTTTTTCAACATACCCTGAGTGTTATTTTTTGACCTATGATGAGATATATCCCCTGTAAACACTGAAAGGGATGGCAAGATGCCACAATTTATGCAAGTTGTATTAAATGCTTGTTTGCTTTAGTGTCTGTAATAGGCAAATCATTTATTTATTTATTTATATAGTTTCGTGTGCACATGTTGGTATTGGTTTTGAAAATATCGCATGTCCTGTTGACATATATGTGCTTTTTCTCAATTATATTGAAGTATGTTGTTTTCCATTTGTGATCTAGGGTTCTCCAGGGCTCACAGGCTTAGTTGGACCCAAAGGTATACGAGTAAGTATTTATATTTTAAACAAACTTGTATGTATTAAATGTCATGTTAAATGCCAGCTTGGTTCAATAATTTGTGAAAAATAAAACCAAAGCATTATATATGATTTTAAAGTATTTTTAAAATTTATGACATGGAGTGTGCACATGCATTATCTATTTCTTAGAACTTTTGCCTTTTTTGCTACACTTTATGTACAAGGTTCACACTGTATGTATTTAGTATTGAGGTGTGCTATGAAAAAGTCAGACTAGAATTCCATGAACAGTTGTTTTGAGTTTTTTTCCTGTGGGCAAAACCAGTCTATGTTAACAGTGCATAAGCTGCCATTATACTTGGTTGATAGTCAGAAGGTTAAGGAAATAATGATCATTTGATAGGATCATAATTGCATTCATTCTTCTTTTGAATGTGATCAAAAGAAAAATGGCATCATGAGCTTTTGCTTAATATTTGTAATATTATTCCTCTGTTTTTGTATCATTAGGGAGTCCCAGGAATACCTGGATTTTCAGGTCCACCAGGCCTTCCAGTAAGTAAAAATTAAACTAATTTAACCATTTCTCTCTTATCACAGTACACAATTATCCTCAGCCCAATGTGCTCACTCTAGGCTCAACATTAGCATTGTCTCTGTCAATTAGCCTAGAGATAAAAATCTTAGCATCAGCAATTCTTACTCATTGTAATTTAAGATTTAAGAACACATTGTAATCTGTCAAGTCTTGCGAAACACAGCTCCAACATAAACTCTTTCAGTGTTGCTGTAGGGTAATATGAATGTGCAAAAACAAAGCTTGTGTCAATTTTGCACTTCTTTTTAGGGTGAACCGGGAACTGTTGGTCCCCCTGGGCGCTCGGGTGTTCCAGGATGCAACGGCACAAAGGTACAAACAGAGATTGTGTTTGGCTATGCTTAGGAATGGCCAAAAAGCACTCTGAATTTCCCCCCCAATATACAACAACTTTGATTTGTTTTGGTTTGTGACACTATCAACTGGGAAAAAATTGAATCATGAGGCCAGAGGAAGGAAAAGTGGTGCCTTTTTCTGTAAGATAGATAATTAAATAGTACATGTTAATGGCCTTTACTAAAAAGTTAAGAATAATGTTTGGTATTTTGACAGGTGAAACTTTTTTCATTAAATCCAGAAGACCTAATCAGTTTTGTCCAACTTGTCCTTCTGTTGAAATGGGTCTTTAGAAGAGAGAGATAGTTAATTAATTTTATTTCACCAGTGTCTAGGTTGCAGATGACAATTCATAAGTCCTGAAAGCAATTAAAAGAAAAGGCTTAATTTTAAGTTACAGGTTTACTAGTTTTTTCTTTGCTCTATGAGCAAATGCTTCCAGCATTCTAAAAGAGGGGTCAGAAGAATGCCTGCTACAGAAGATCATACGTTCTAGTGAAAAGGTGAACTGACTGACATAGCTAATAAAGCCCAGTGTCTAGTGTAGAAGTCAAGACCCATTCTGTGAAGCTCTGCCCCTTCTAACAAATACGGTGGTAAAGCAACTCACAATTTTAGTATGGTAACATAAAAAAACTTCTTTTGTAATCACATTTGCTTAAATCAGACCAAATAATAAACGATAATATGCATTAACAATCACTCTTACTACTTTCAGGGTGATCGAGGTTTTCCAGGTCCTCCAGGTAGAAGAGGTGCTCCAGGCGTTCCTGTAGGTGTCTGTGAAATTCATGATTGTGTGTATTTCTACCACACCATAAAGCCATTCACTGAAGGCGTGTAAAGCCTCACGTTGGCTGGTGTTGACATGAGTTGAAATATATAGGTATCCCCATTTTATTAATATGAAGACTGTGTGGTAAAGAAACCACAGTTAAAAGTAATGCTTTATCAGCTGCATGTTGGGCCTCAACTTCTTAGTTAATGAGTGCATGCATATTTGCACATTCATTGACTGGTGTTAGCTCTTTAGTGTCTCAAGGGATAGACATGAAAATTTACCACTCGCATCTCTAAAGGTGTCCAATATATATTTAATAGATTGCAGTTTTCATGCCTAAATATGTTTGAGGATATAGCCTAATTAAGTCAATAAGAACGAGGAATTAAATGCAGAACTTCTCTTTCTGGCTGCATTGTTTTATCCCTAGGATTTGTTTTTTCTTTGTAGAAATGTGTTTTTAAAAGAAATTTCTAAACAAATGGAAATAGAATGCTGTCTGTCAAGTTCCAGTGGCTTCAAATCTAATAACTTCTAAACTTCACTTTACCATCTCTCCTGCTTTTATTTATTTGTTTATTAAGGTCAGGATTCAAAACTGTTTTGCCTTCAGTTGTAGAGTTTGTGTGACTGGACTATTTTTTAACAATATGCCTCTTCTCCTTAAATTGAAGTCTGGCATAGTAAATATGTACCTAGCTATACACCGTGTCCATGAAAATCAATCATTTCAAGAGCACTGAACTTAGAGAATATTTAGAATATGTCCTTCACCATTGTCTCTTTTATTTTTCCGTTTCAATAATTATATTGTTCTTCTCCCTAGGGTGTTGCTGGCATCAAAGGAGAGAAGGTCAGTTATTTACACCATATTACATGAAATATTTATTGGTGATCAACAGTTTGTGTGTATGCTTGCTGCTGGAAAAGAGTTCTTAATGTCTTCATTCATGGAAAACAGAAGGTTTACTTTCCAGAAGAAGCAACCCCAAACTTTGGTGCTTTGTCTGTACTAGTTGCATTCACCTCAGGTTACAAAACAGTACTTCATTTTTTTTTCCCCCTTTAAATACTGTTATTGCATGTAGTGAATTTAACCCTTTCAAGCACACAAAGAGCTAAGCCCATGCCCCAAACAGCTTAGGAATTTGTATGGAAATCTGCAGATGCACTAGAGAGTATTTTAAAGGGATAAAAAGTACCAAAACTAAATTGAAGGTAAGGACTGTGGGTGAGTAACATAAGTATGTCAGAAATGAAGACTGCTCCTAACAGGGAACTGGAATGCCTGAAAAAGGTATATTCTATTTAATAAAATCTTTTTTAAAGGTAGATCTATAGTGGACAGTTGCCATCATTATGCAACGCTGATTTTTCTTATTTCTCTACAAACTGTATTAGAAGATCTGTTCCACTACAGAGTTCTACAGCATAACTTTTTACATTCCTTTTTATCTAACTGTTCAGGGGTGCCCTGCAGAGGGATATAACCAAGAGTATGGTGCAAAAGGTGATCCTGGATTGCCA